CCCCCCAACCAAAAAAAAGGTAAGAATAAGGACTACTATGACGCGCAGATGTGAAATAACACCACTAGATGCTGGCAACGATTTAAAACACGAAAACTTCTTTCACAGTCGCCTAAATGAAACAAGACAAAAACCCCAAAATAAGCATTGGTGGATAGCTGCTTTCGAGAAGATATTATTCTAAGAACTTACTCTTGTAAAACAGTCAAGGAAGTAAACGCAATCTAATAGGGGGTGTCCAATAGCGGATCGGGTCGGGTCGTCGTGTCAGGTCGTTTTCTGGTGGTTTCAGTGCGCACTACAAACCCGCCGCGATTTTACCCGACGACCTGGAAGTTAAAGTAAAGAAACCTTTAACCCCAGTGGCTTCCAGGGCTCCTTTCCGCAGTTCCCTGTTGAAGTGCTGCGTAGGAAAAGCAAAGTTTGTTAGTTTCGCTTTTTTTGTTTTTCACACAAGTTGGGTAACTCTGTTCGCAAATTACACACTTTTTCGAAGAGGGCGCCAGCAGATTTTTAGTGTCAACATGGACACGGGACTCAGCCTTTTTGCGATTGGCTGCAAACCACCCGTTCGCGCTACTTGCAGGCCTGAGACAAACGCACTTGTTTTTCCAGGTCACCGACTGAGTCGATCGGTTTGTGCCACGATGGCCGCTTTGTGCAATCAATTTGGCTAGCCCCGACTATCAAATCGACCCGCCCCGACTATCAAATCGACCCGACCTGACCCGATCGCGCTAGTGAACACCCCCTATAAGAGTGTGGTACACAAATGACGACACTGGTGCTCTTCACCCTTGCCCGCTCGTCTTAAGATCAAATTGCATGATTTCACATAGTGCAGTCTGAAAGAACTGATTATTATTATAATGGGCACGACAATCGGGTCGACTGATTGAGATGGTTTACAACAATGAAATCCGCTTAAACCGTTCACTATTAATCCCAAAACAGTGGTACATCGTAACAAGATCATGCGTAGTCTCTCTTAACCGTTTACTGTTAATCCCAATCCCAAAACAGTGGTAAATCATCACAAGATTATGCGTAGTCTCTCTAAACCGTTTACTGTTAATCCCAAAACAGTGGGAAATTATCACAAGATTATGCGTAATCCCTCTAAACCGAAAAACCGGCTAAACCGAAGAAAAATTCGGCGGTCCCGCAGATTTCGTTCTAAGCCGACTTCATTATCTCTCTTTTCGTTTTCTGATACCACCTCGCCCCATCCCCCTCCCGAAAAGACGACTGTGCTCAATACTCCATTGCAGAATCTGAACGTATGTGGCAGCCTAGGCCCCCAGATATCGTGAGGTCTAGGTGGCAGCCTACTCTCTTCGGACGTGAAATCTGGGTTTGTATGTTTGGTCCGTTATATTTTAAACTCAAGTAAGTTTACATCAGTGCAATGATGCTATATGCAGTTAAAATTCATGCTCGATATACGCTTGCGCGATATTGTACGGCAAGGTTGGTTATAACGCCCCCCCACCCCCAATCCCCTGAAACTCCGTTTAACTTTAAAAAGTCGCGTTACACCCCCGCACAGATACCCATTAGTATGTAAGATTTTCAATACTTGCTTCGGAGTATGATTGTGGGCTCTCGTGGCCTAGAGGTTAAGGTGTTCGCGTCTCATTCAAAAGGTCCCGGGATCGAGTCGAGGTAGCGACGGAAAAATTTTCTTCTCTAAAAATTGTCTCATTGCAAATAATTTCATGCTCTCTGGCAATGTTATATCGTTTACTTTCGTCTCCACTTTCTGCCCCCACCTCCTTTGCCCCCTTATCTGGGATCTTTACCCTTTCTGCAGTTTTTCTATTGCTACTCCATGGCTTCTTCTTTCTGCTGTCTTTCAGCCACACCCCTGATCTTCTGGTAGGAAAAATCTACACCTAGCCTACTCGGAAAAGGGTGAAAAATCTCAGACCCGGGCAAAATTCTAAATTTCATACCAACTGATAATGTCCAATGTGTCCCGCGCTCTCATATGACCTTATAGAGTTGCGAGCTCCGCTAGACACTTATAAAAAAAGGAGTAAGATATGATTATAGGTCTCTAGTCTCTATGAAAGCTGTCTTTTGACTGCAGGCTCTAGTTTCAGTTCTGACGCTTCCATGGGTAGGCTCAGGCATCATAAAAGGGAGATGGCAGGGGTGGGGTCGGGGTGGGGAAGGAAAGGGGTTGAAGGGCTCCTTCTAGATACGCCCCGCTTCTTATCTTTATTATACACAAGGGCCAAAATGTTAGCAATGTTCTCACAATGACTCTTGCCACAACGAAGCCGCGACTAACTAACCGCTGCCGACTTACATACATATACTATAGCGTCATCTACCCATTGACAGTCAGCCCATGGATTGGCATATTGATCTACTGAAGGGGGAGTACAGAGCACACTGATGCAGAAGACAAGTTCTTATGGTCTGGGGTTTTGATACATACATAGATACACATACTATACCAACAGAATATCCTTTTTCTTTCATAAATTCCATAGCTTGGTACAACAGCCTTTTCTAAACACCGCCGTTCAGTTAAGTCGAAGCTATCATAATTCATACTCATATTATATCCTCTCTAATGAACACATTTGTCTTCACAATGTTATAAAGGGTCACGGACCAAAGGAACAGAAAGTAAAATAAAACAAAGTAGAGCACTTAATGCAGGAGAGATGATATCTTTGCATGCAGGTTAGAAAATAATAAGGAAGTTAAAAGGAGTTTAAAGACGAGCTCTGTTTTGTTTCCCCATATATTAGTTTGGCAGGTATGGCATTCAACTGTCTTTAATTTACTCAACACCAACCCCTAATGGCAAAGGTGAATGGAAAGGCTGTTATTCACATGCAATCCAAATACCTATCTCAACCTCTTCTTTGAAAATGAGTCTCCTGAGCAAAGCGATGTGAATTCCGCCCTTTCAAAACCTCAGACCAGACAACAGCAAAGTATTACGAACAGCACAGGGACAGTGGATCTATAGCGGGGATGGTAACTAAAGCATGTGGATGAGAATGATTAGTGGATTCATGACGTCACTTGTAAACATCTGCTCGCGTGCAGGTCACACCAGTGCGCATGTGCGGATCAAGCGCGCACCATTGCGCCCCCTAGCGTCCACTCACCTACTACTGCAGGAGAAAGGTTTCATCTGTAACAAAAGTGGGACGTCAATGCTCTTTTGAGAATGAAAATTGAAAGAAGTAGGCAAAAATGCACCAATAGAATACATAAGGCGGCCCAGACCAAAAGGAGAGCCTTTTTCCAGATTTCAAATTCAAATGATGAGTTAAGGGTTATCAAAAAAACGGAGAAAACAAAGCATAAAGCTATATAGTTCATCAAACCGATGAATTTGTAACAAAAATTCCAAAGATTTCTCAACTTCTTGGGGTTATAAAGCAGAATGAAGGCAATCCTTGAAGTCGGAGCGTCTTAATAAAAAATTCAAAGGGGATCAGGACCAAGAGTTGGCAACCCATGACTATGCACTTGCTCTTGACAGCGGCTGAATTGTTACAAATGCATTGGGTGACTTGTGACGAAATTAAACTTTATTTCCTTCCAGCGCATGCCATTTCATGTTCATGTTTCTTTCTTTCTTTTCTTTTCTTTTTACATCAGAGTTATAATTCACGACGTGGTTGGCAAAAACTGATTAAAAAAAAAAAGCCATAGCTGCAGCAAAGGAGAGTGAACTGAATCAGTAGAAATAAAAGAAAAAAATGCAGGGAAGCTAAGCTAATCAAGCAAACAGCTTTGAAGAGTGCAAAACAATAGAACAAAACCACGTGACGGTTGTGTAACTTGTGTTTGTGTGTCGTGTCGTATATATCTTCAAACAGTTTTGCAATGTTCATTCAATGGAATGGCCACGGAGATATGTGCAAATGACTTTGACATATTCAAATAATTAACTTGTCAATGCCGGAAACAAAGGAAATGTGAAGATAAAAAACAAACTAAAAACATGTAGCAGCTCTTGGGCAAGCGAAATAGATTAAATCTGAGTTCTTCGTACTGTTTAAGTCGTAGGAGTCTCTTCGTTTCTATAATTTGATCTGTCGTTAACAGTCATAACTACCCTTCAAACATGCTACTCTTCAAGGACAGCTTCTTTGGTTCAGACTTTTTGACAACAGACACGAGACCAGCATCACACCATTCATAGTACCAAACAGTTCGGACATTCTTCACACACTGTCTCTTAGTTTCCGAACACAGACAGACTAATAGACTAACATCTTTCAAAACAAGCGGCGGAATCTCATAAAAATGATTCGCAGGAATTAAATCAAGACGAGCTCAATACCAACATACGAACACAGAACAGTCCTTTAGAACCAACCTGGTTTGGAGTTGGAGATGAGGTGATAGTTGGCTAGTTTCCGCCCCGTGGAGGGACTTGACTGTAGCCTGCTGGCGAGGGAGACGGCCTTCCGGAATTTGAGTCTTGGCCGGCCGCTCGAGTTGATATGCAGACTGTCTGTGGAAGAAAAGTTCCGGTCCTTTACGCTGGAGATTCGTGGATGTTTTTCCACGGACAACGACTTGTATCGTTTGAAACTCGACTTCCGGGTCAAGGAACTGTCGTCAGTTTGTAAGAGACTCATGGAGTCAGATGGTGAGTGAGCTTCTGGGCTGGTGGAGGAGGGTGGCTGTTGTTGTTGTTGTTGTTGCTGTTGTTGTTGTTGCGGGTTCATGGCGCAGATATTTCCCGGGGAGGACGTCACGGCGTGGAAAGGAAGCTGAGCTATGGGGAAGGGCGACGAGGAGGAAGATGGCGGCTGGACTCCTCGCTCCCAGGTGGCGGTGAAACCGTCGTCCAGCTTTTGAACGATCTGGTTGGCTGAGCCGGCTGTCGTCGGGTTGTTGCTAGTGTTGGCATTGTTGGCGACGGGGCTCCCAGCGACGGGGCTGTCCGCGGACCCGCCACTACTCCCGTTGAAGCGAGTCTCCTGCTGATTGTTAAAGCTGTTGTTGGCGTTGCCACCACCGCCCCCGCTGCCGCTGCCGCCTCCGCCTCCGCCTGCGCCTCCGCCAGTGTGTTGTCGTTGCTGTTGCTGCTGGTGCTGGTAGATGAGAGGCGGGTGGCGCCTGTTGGCCTGTTGCTGGTGGTGTGGATGATGGTGGTGATGATGGAAGAGGTGCTGGGGCTGTGGAAGATGAGGATGCGGAGGCTGCGCAGAAGAAGACGTCGAGGAGGACGAAGACTCTTTGTAGACGGTGTCGTACAAGGTTCCGCCAGGGGACTGCACCACGTCTTGCTCTTCCACGCTGGCCGGGTCGTCCAGAGGATTCACGTACAAGTTTTGTTTGTGTCGATCGCCCGAGCTGTGGCCGCCGGAGCTCCGCGGCGACCCGTGCGGGTGAGTCATACAGCTGCTGTAGGTGTCGCTGCTGCTGGCGTTGCTGCTTTGGCGCGGGAGTTGCTGCATCTCGATACAGCTCTTGTCCGGTGAAAGACGCTCTGGCCGACCGACGTCCATTCTTCCCTGTCCAGGACAGAACACAGATAAGATAAGATACGATACAATAAAATAAAATACGATACGATGCGATACGATACAACAAGATCAAATAAGATACGATACGATAAGATAAGATAAGATAAGACACGATAAGATAAGATATGACAAGATAAGATAATATAGGATAAGAAAAGATAAGATAGATAAGAGGAGATGAGATGAAATAAGATAAGACAAGATAAGATATGATATGATGAGATAAGATAAGATAAGATAACACAAGGTACGTCTTTATTGTCCAAATATGGTATATTATGTCTGAGAACAGAAGTGCTTACACGAATAAATGGGATTGGGATTTTTGTGTTTCTTGTTCCCTACACTATCCAAAAGACGAGGTTGACACTCGTTAATTCTTTCCTAATGTGAGGGGAACTAAGTAGAGGCCACAGGATTTGTTATGAAATGAAAAGTCTAACTTTTGAAAATATGCCATACTATGCTTTTCTATTAAACAGAGTAAGTCCGTCACATAACTCAAACTCAAAGTAATGTGCACACTTAAACACTGAATAAACAAATGAAATAAAATCAAAGCCTTCACATTTTGTACTCACGACTCATTTCATACGCTCTCTCTCTCTCTCTCTCTCTCTCTCTGTCTCTCTCTGTCTCTCTCTCTCTCTCTCTCTCTCTCTTATAGAACGACAATTAAAGTGATGTTGTTAAGTTTATGATGAATAGCAGATGCGACATAAATGATGGCCATCAAGTGCTCTGCAACGCCCCTGCTGGTGGTGATCATGATGCTGAAGATGATGATATTGATGATGATGATGATAATGGTGATGATGATGACGACGACGATGATGATGATATGGGGGGGGGGGGGGGGGGCGGAGAAGGGAACTAATATACATTCATATGCAAAATTACATATTGAAAGAGGCAATAGTTGTTGGCATATAATTCACCGGCGCCAATCAACCGAGAAAAAGAAGAAGAAGAAGAAGAAGAAGAAGAAGAAGAAGAAGAAGAAGAAGAAGAAGAAGAAGAAGAAGAAGAAGAAGAAGAAGAAGAAGAAGAAGAAGGAGAAGGAGAAGGAGAAGGAAAAGGAGAAGGAGAAGGAGGAGGAGGAGGAGAAGAAGAAGAAGAAGAAGAAGAAGAAGAAGAAGAAGAAGAAGAAGAAGAAGAAGAAGAAGAAGAAGAAGAAGAAGAAGAAGAAGAAGAAGAAGAAGAAGAAGAAAAGAAGATGAAGGAGGAGGTGAGGAGGGGGAGGGGGAAAGAAAAAAGAAGAAGAAGAGAAAGAAGGAGGAGAAAGAAGAGGAAGAGAAAGTGAAAGGAGGAAGAAGGGGAGGAGTGAAACCCCCCCCCCAAGCAATCTCAATAGAATTAAATTTAAATATAATATGACCACAAAATGGATACTAGAGTAAATTGAGTCGAAAATAATGGAAGTACAACTGCTGACAAAATTGTAGACTAAACCGAAACGCTAAAGGTTGCTAATGAACAGATAGATAAAGACAAAGAAGGAGAGCCTTTGCACATTCTTATGGATGTCAATTCAATGTAGTCTCAACATTAAAAAAAATCAAAAACGAAAAATATGTTGACCATTTCAAGAAATGTTGAGAACTTCGGATTTCCTCCGTGCAACCACCACGACATGGAGATATTTTTGGAAGGCGGGGGAAACATTTGACCTCACTTATAGGAATCAAACCTGGGCCTTCCTTGTTAGAGTCAAAATCTACACCACAGATGCTGGATCAGGGAATAATTTCGGATTTACTAGAAATCTGTTTCTTCATACCTATTTTAAAAAAATAAGGTAATTTAGAAAGCGGGCTGCTTAGACCCTACTTGTTAGGGCTAATCCAGTCTGAGTGAGATAAAGTATACCAGAAGAACGATGTAGATCTTCAATAAAGTCATCTCCCAAAATAGGAATCGAACTGACGCTATTTGCGAGCAACAGTGACATCGCAGACGCTGGGTAAGTGAGATTTAAAGGCAACTAGTAGTGGGTTTGGAGAAAAACAGGGCTTGAATTAACAGTCAGTGTTGAAGAGGTTGTGAATATAGCTCCTGATCCAAAACGTGACTGTTCAGAACAATTTAATTGCAAGTTCAAGCCTCCTTTTCACATAGGAAAAGCATACTGATCCCAAGATAATATCATGGACTATTAATTTGAGATTTACAGAATTTTTAAAAAGAAGGACAACAGGCAAAAGAGAAGAAAACTACATCTGCAAACAGCGTATGATAGGAATGATATTCGTGAACTTATATTACAAAACAGGAGAACGTTCGAGATATGAATAGATTCTAAAAAATGAAAGATGAAAGTGGAAAGGGATGAGGAAGAAAAATGAAAAAAACCCCAACTACAGGCACTAAGTCTGAGAACAACAGGATGTGACAGTGATACAGTAAGAGAGCAGCCTGTAATGATTGGGATACTGTAATAAAAACCTTACAGTAAGAGAGAAGCTTGTAATGATTGAGACACTGTAATAAAAACCTTACAGTAAGGGAGAAGCTTGTAATGATTGAGACACTGTAATAAAAACCTTACAGTAAGAGAGAAGCTTGTAATGATTGAGACACTGTAATAAAAACCTGAGTTTGAGAGTTGAGCAGCGGTTGTGATGACGTCATCCTCTTGAGCGACTCCTCGTCAGCGTCCAACAGGTTGTTCGTGCTGCAGTTGGCCACCAGGTTCTCACAGCTGCCGGAGACCACGCCCGGAGTCAGAAGCCCCGCCTCCTCGTCCGCCGACGTCCCGCGGAGGTGCGGATGGTGGTGGTGGTGGTGGTGGTGGTGGTGATGGAGGGGCTGGTGGTGCTGCTGCTGCTGCTGATGCTGCAGAGCGTGCGGGTTGTTGGGATCGTGCGCGGCGAGCAGTGCCTGACTGCCGCACAGCACGGCGGCGTGGCTGTGTTTACTGTCAATACTGCACGAGTCTCCGCCCCCTGGCCCGCCCCCACCACCTCCTCCAACTCCGATACCGCCCACTCCACCACACACGCTCCCGCCTCCGACGCTGCCCGACTGCGCATGCGCCTTGTGGGAGGGCGAGTTCACCTCCATGAGATCGACGCTTCGGGCGAAGGCGTCTCGTAGATTGATGGAGTGGAACGACACGATACTGCCCGTGCGCTTGGCCTTCTCTAAGGCTTCGCGCCGCTTGAAAGCCTTCTCGCGCCGCATCTGATCCTTGTAGAACTCGGCGAAATTGTTGACGATGATGGGAATGGGGAGAGCAATGACCAATACGCCACAGATACAGCACACACTGCCCACAACTTTACCCAGGACGGTCTTCGGGTAGATGTCTCCGTACCCGACGGTCGTCATGGTGATGGCTGCCCACCAAAAGGTCTCAGGGATGCTTTTGTACTTCGTTTCCGGTTCGTCTTTTTCCGCGAAATACGCCAACGAGGAGAATAACAAGATGAATATAGCTAGGAACATCAACAACATACCCAGTTCTTTATACGATCGCTGCAATGTGTACCCTAAAGACTGTAGCCCCGTTGAGTGGCGGGCGAGCTTCAGAATACGTAAAATTCTCATGATCCTAAAAATCTGCACCACGCGACGCACGTTCTGAAACTGTTCAGTAGTGCTCTTGTTCGTCTCCGTGAGACCCAAAGAAATAAAATAGGGCATGATGGCTAGCAAGTCTATCACATTGAGCGGGCCTTTGAAAAACTTCCACTTGTTGGGGGAGGCCCAGAAGCGAGCGAGGTACTCTAGAGTGAACCAGCCTATGCACACGGCTTCCACCACGGCGAGGTCTTCGTTGTCCTGGTTCAGGGAGGGGTCAGCGCGGTCCTGGAGGGCCGGGATAGTGTTGAGGGTCAGCGCTATGGTGGACAGCACGATGAACAGGATAGAGATGATGGCCACTACCTGTGGGCGGGACGATTGGGGTGGGTTTGAGGTTAACGCCCTTCTGTACATGACCATCTATACATGAGCTTCTGTACATGAGCTTCTGTACATGACCTTCTGTACATGACCTTCTATACATGATTTATAAAGCTTATTCTCAAGACATGTTAACGTCCTTCTATACACGACATTCTTTACATACCCTTCAATACATGATTTATAAAGGATATTCTCTAGACACGTTTATGCCCTTAAATACATGATTTATAAAGGGTATTCTCTAGACACGTTTATGCCGTTCAATACATGATCTATAAAGGTTATTTTCAAGACAGGTTAACGCCCTTCGATACATGACCTTCTATACATGACCTTCAATACATGATTTATAAAGTTATTCTCTAGACATGGGGGTAGATGGGTTTAAGAGATAGACTCGCTTTAACTCTTCTCGACTAGGGAGTAGGGGGACCCTACTACTGGACTGAAGACGTGTAAAGTTTCAAACTTTCAGTTTAGCGGAAGAACAAACCAGTAACGTGCCAATCCTTCTTGTACATATGGGTGGTACTGTTTAAGTTTTGAGCAAACTCAAAAGAAACTTTGTTGTATGGAATTATAACGTTTGACGAGCACCCATAAACATAAATTAATAGAATGTGTCTACATTTCAACTTTGATAATGTCTTAATTTTTGCCAAACCTATGTAGGACGAATTAACATTTTATAACATATTATGCGTTCTTAATTCTAGCCATGACGTATGAAAAAGAAGTGTAACTTTCTCTGAGGTTTAACATGTCCTTACGGGCTTTCTTACATGTTCCAGACAGCGATTCGTGTTTTTATCTAAAACACATACGGAGGTTTATCTAAACAGTTACATTTTTTTTGCTGTTTTATTTCCCTGTGTATTCGCTTGAGTCTAATCGCTTCATAAAAAACAGGGAGGTTAATTCCAAGGCCAGAAGTTTGTATGAGTTTGAGTAAAGAGAAGGACACTAAAACAGTGACGTTCGTTTTGAGTTCGGGTAAAGCAAGATGAGCAGACAGATGAAATAGAGCAATAGTGAAGAAGCAAAATCTATCAGCAACGCCCTCCAATCTCCCACCCCAAGGGTTATATGGTCGCTTTTAAGCACAAGGGGCTATCCCGAAAAAGTCTGTTTTGAGAAAATCGAATGTAAAGCTTGCCCCTTGTTCAGTTTCTTGAAAAGACAAGGAGAGTATTCTCTATAACCAAACAAATATACACACCAAATAAACCAAACTTGTCCTATGGGTAGGACAATGGCCACTTCTGGTGCAGGTCAAGATTTCTGGAAACCCTCGAAATCTGGGTTAGCCCGCTTGTCCTTAAAAGCGACCACATAATAGAAGAGGGAAAAGGAAGGAGACAAGAAAAAAGCTGCTTAGGTGGAAGAGTCCATTTCAATGAAGGACCAGAAAATTAGTCAGTTACATTTATTGTATGCAACACGGAGCACAAACCTACATGCGGACACACACCCACGTTACAGACAGCACGCTTTACTGAGATAAACATATATATAGACAGTTAGATATATAGATCAATAGACAGGGAAAGAAAGAGGAGAGAGAGAGAGAGAGAGAGAGAGAGAGAGAGAGAGAGAGAGAGAGAGAGAGAGGGGGGGGGATAGAGCAAGTGTGAGAGACAGGCGGGCAGGC